ACGAAACCGATCATTAAAAATCTTAATATCAGAAAGGAAAACATGCTTGAGTGACTTTTATGTATAAATGGAGCCATTCTTAACTTTAAATACTCAATTCAGATACCGGGTGTATGTCATAGCTTCGAAAATTGCAAAGGTAACTACAAATCAGTTTAATAAAAGGTAAGCAGAAGCTGTGATGGAAACTCTTTATATAACACGTATTATTCCATAGACTTTAAAATTATTTTTGTAGATCCTTATATATAAATGTTGTGAGTAACTTTAAAAATATAAATACTATTTTAAGAATGAAAAAGTAAAATTTTATTGATTATACATATATAAATAAACGTCAAACAAAGACAGAGAAAATGATTCGCGTTGGAGGCGTTTCAGTAGAGAAGTATCATTATAAGTATTAAGACTACTTTCCTCAAGGGTGCTCGCTTTGCTTTTTCGACACGACCCTGACCCACGACGAATGACCTCCAAAATAAGGTGATGGATAGATTTTTTTTTACATAAACTCTCAAAGTTCTATAAATAAAATCAAGTAAAAGTTATATTGTAATTTTCAACGCCCCTGATTTTTTTTAATTTATCACAAAAATATATACCCGACGTTGCCAGAGAATCATGGGGTATACTTAATAACACACTTTTTGAATACAAAATATTTTAATTAATCATATATACTATTGCTATTAAAAATTAAATGAGCTAATTAAATAATAAAAATACACAAGAAAACCACTTTAATACATGCGCTCACATATATAACACATTGCCACCTTCATATATAAAGAAATATTTCTGTGACATTACCATTCGACTAAATATTTAACTATCATCTTAGGTCATTTCAGAATATTTCAAAATTTTCCGGAACGTTAGCCGCTGATTTTGATAAGTGAGTAGGTATTTAGAAGGCAGTTGTTTTGGAAATACCCATGAGATGGTACAAGAAAATGTATAAGATAGTTAAAATGAAGGGAAGATGACATTAAAAAGATATTTGACCTAGAATGATCCAGGTTAGCTAAGGATAGAGAAAAGTGGAAATCATTTAAGGAGGTCTCTGTCGGAAGACAAGCTGTCATGTAAGAATAGTAAAACATATAAGTAAATGTATAATATAGCATGTAGTATTCAAGTAACTTCAGAAAATGGTGCAGTAAAAAATACTTATTTTTCATTTATTTTGGAAATGGAATGGCAGACTAGTTAGACAGCTAGACAATATTGAAAACTATTCGCGACCTCATATCAATCGGGTCTAGTTTTAAAATGGAATGATAATGCTGTCATTCCACTTACTTTAAATCTCGTTAATTAAAATTTAAAAGACATCGCCGTGCAGCAAAATAATGTTCTTTCAATTAATTCCCTTTTCTCGTTATAGACAAAGCCCATAATTAGTCGTGACTTTCGCTTTTGCGAAGTAATTAAATTTTTCCCAGCCCCTCGATTAATCCGCTGGATCTTGGATTAAACGTGTTGATGACTTCTGGGATTCGAATAAACGATTGTAATTGTGGCGATGCCTTTGAAAGCTTGAAGGGTATTTAAGTTACTTCAGTTTGTGATTAAGTTAGTTGCTATAAATAGCCTAGCTAAATATACACTTTGATATTTCGTACCCATTAATACAAAATGTTCGTCACCAGTTTAAGGTGTGCGAATTAAATTAAGTCGTCTATAGGTAGGTGAATAACCAAATATCCAGATATATTAAAAAAATAACTCCTACGTTAATGAATAAAATTACATGAAATACGCTAAATATAATATATTGGATGGCAGAATGTGGCAATTCTGTTGGCACAAAAAAAGGTGAAACTGAGTTATTAAAACTGTAAACAACTGAAAGTGATTAAAGCAGTAAAAGAAATATAAAAATTCATTTCTACGAGTTCAGTTTCAATGAAAGAATGTCTTCACAGTAAAAAATGTCTATACGTGCTTATAGATAAGTATATTAATTTAGAATCATAACGAAATCTCTATCATTATAATTAAAAACGATCTCGTATTTGTACTTCATTAACGTTTAATGTATAGAGCTAAATTCTGATCATTCAAATTACAAAACGAAGTTAATCATATACTTAACTTCGTTTTTTTATATTAAACAACATCACATACATTGCTCAGATTCCAAGATGAGTAGCTAAAAACAAGAAAGGTAACATGAACAATACAGAAAAATCCTTTTTCTACATTGAGATGGCGACACCTTGGTAAGGTTCTTGCGAGCCACTCGGCTATGGAGGTGGTCAAATGAGCGAAGGATGTGAGCCAAAATGGAGTTTTTTTCCTAGAAACAATTTCCATTAGGTCCATCGTTCCCAACCGAAAAATAAAAGTTGGTAATTCGCAGATAGTGCTATTGCCAATTCCTTCGACGGGTCTGCAATGTATGTGCTACGTGACGTCATTTTGCATTACCTGCCTACAATCTTTTACTCAAATTGCTACTGGGAATACCTTGAAAACTATTATTTTCCATCAAAATCTCTAGTTTTTATGTGACCAGTTTTCATTGTAAAGAGTTGTTTATAGTAGAGATCCCCCCACTTTCCGCCGCATGTTGCCTCGCGCGGGTTATATTTACCTCGACACATAAGACGGGGCAAATATAATCAGTAGGTCAACTCTGTTTCTCAGAAAACGAAATTTCATCTATATTGGAAACATTCATACGATTCATTAAAAAAATTGCCTTTTACGATAATTTATGATACAACTATAAAATTTATATAATAAGCATCTTTGATTTAATGGAGGAAGTGGTAGGTTTTTTGCGTAATCAATAAATTATAGCGACACATTGAGTTGAAATGTCACGTGCCGTCAAACTTTTGTACATTTTCTACAAAACTGTGACGTAAAGAGCCCCCACTCCTCAACTTTAATGCCTAATATCTAAGCCTTATGTTTAAATTGAAGCAAAAAAAAAAACACGTATCTAATATTTTTCTATTATCATCTGACTGATGGACTAAGTAGAATATTCTTATTTTTTACTCATTCGTCGTCACTATTTTCACCGATATGATTATAATAAAATTATAAGAACGTTTCGAAATATCGGTATGGTGAAACAGAGAAGGTATGAAGCCTGGGAAAAAGAAAAAAATATATATATGTCAGTCAAATAATACAAAACATTAGATACGTAATTTGTTATGGTTCAATTTAACAAGAAATGAAATATGTAATAGACATTAAAATTGAGGTGTAGGGGCACGCTACGTCACAACTGCGTAGGTCAAAGGTCACATGCGTGACATTATGCGACATTCTAACTCAATTTATCACAGTTTATTTAGGTTTGCCAACAGTCGATTACAATATTCCTTACTTAATTATTAATATTTATTTTACTATTATTATGTAATTGCCATAAATTCTTAAAGGCAAACACAACATGCACCAATATGCACAACTATGATTTAAAAAATAAATAAAACAAAAAACATCAAAGCGTATCCCATTATGTTTGAGTTTGAATAATACAGTATAAATGCTTCAGAGGCCATTCCACTTATCTAAGATCTTTTTACGGATCCTGATGGGCGAGTCGAAATGAATATCTATGATATTACTGAATTAATTTACTATCTTACAAAACCTTGCAACCGGTGAATTAGATCCGAAAACAGTCTTACGACACGATGCACTTAGAGGCGTTATGGACTTTCGAGGATATCGAAATGGGACACGCATCTTAATTCTATCCAGTAACTGAGGACAATCCACACAATGACCAAGAATTTTTAAAACAAAACACACGTCACTAAGAATTCTACGCTGTGACAATGTGATCATGTTGAAATGAGCCAACCGTTCATCATATGCAGACAGTTTTTTATTCGAGGTACCACAAGAATACATCAGATGCCAGATAAATCTTTTTTGAGCCCGTTTTATTCTTAAAGAATGTGCTGCGTAATGCGGTCTCCAAACGACACTACAGTACTCCAATATACTTTGTACCAAGTTATTAAAAATTAATATCTTTGTCTTGAAATTGCGCAAATTTTTTGTGTTTCTCATAACAAATCCCAATATCCTCGAAGCCCCATTAGTTATATTTTCAATGTGTGGAATAAAAGTCATCTTTTTGTCGAATAAGACTCCAAGTCACGATAATTTTCACGTTCTTCGATCAAAATGTTACCAATAGAGTACTCATGTGAGATGAAACTATGCTGTCTACCAAATCTTATATAAAAACATTTATTAATATTTAGTGCCATATTGTTGATGCTGCACCATTCCATTATTTTATTGAGATCTTTTTGAAGTAAAAGACAATCTTCAATTTTTTTTTATTTTTCTACAGAACTTTAGCTCGTCTACGTACATGAACGGTGTAGAGAATGCTAGGCAATCTGGTAAATCATTTACGAAAATGTTGAATAAAAGTTATTGATTTATAGATTATCCAAAAAAAAAATTGTCAATAATCTATCTGCGAAACACACGTAAAATAACTCCATACTAAATTATGAATACATTAATATTTACACAACGCTATCCATCTTCATAAATGGAACTTCTGTTATATACGAGGAGTAAAGTAATTATTGTTAGAGGGGAAAACATTGACGGGCAGCACTAATTATTTATTTCACTAAGGGGCATCCCTATCTGGCAGTTAGCTGTCACTGTCACTTTGACGTTCGATCAGTTTCGCGCCAATATAAAACTATTGATGTTAAATATATAAATTGAATAGTAAAATGTGTGATGTATATTTCAGTATATATTTGGTCAAAACCATTGGCCACCTAAAAATTGGTAGACGAGAAGAAGTTAAATTGTGACATGTTAACTTAATTTGATCGAATCATAGTTTAAACCTGGTCGTAATCTTAGTTCTTTTTGTAGAATAAAATATCAAATGTGCACACATAAATTTTAATACGATAAATTATTAGAGATATCATGTATCAGATAAGAGAGAAGAGAATTTATTTTATAACGTGTAATGACTTTTTTTTGTGCAGACTCTGGTAGTTCAACACGTGGATGTCTGCATGTTCTCCAATGGAAAGTTCAAGAATGTTGTGGCCGTGGTGAAATGCGGCGGCACACCCGTTATACCCGGGCAAATACACACAGACACCTATACGCTCACACCACACAGAGGTATGATATAACTTCTAAAAGAAATAAAGATTTTTATTTGCTTGATACGAGGTGAATTTACATATGTAAAATAAAAAAGATACTTCTTTTTTTTTTATTATACAAACAAAAATAAAATGACGTTACTCGACATTTCACTGGCTATACAAATATTAGTACCTATCAGTACCTAAATTAGCTTATATTAAGATATGAGGAAAAAACCAAGAATTTTTAATATAAATGAATATAAAATATGTTGCTGTTTTAAATAAGGTTATTTAATGTTCAGTAATAAAGTTGTGTTTTTCTAGGAGTTACCAAAAACTGGATAGCATTAGAAGATTCCTATTCTAAATCTGGCGCGAGTCTTGCATCTACAGTAGTGTGTAACAACTCTCCTGAAGATAGAAACGTCTTCGCAATATACGTATCCTACTATGTAAAAGTTAAACTTACCCTAAGTGCCATGGGCGGAGAAGTATCAGTCAAACTTCCATTTATTTTAACACATTCGTGTATCAACGAAGCACCGACAGATAGTGTCGTAGAAGAATCAACACCGAAAATGATATTAGAAGCAAAAGAGAATAGTGAAGACGAAGACAGTAAAGCAGAAATAGAAAAAGACCAACAAAACAACAATGGCATTGAAGAGAAACAAGAAACAGCTTTTGGTGACGACGCTGAAGTCAAATCACCCGAAGACCATCGTTGCGTCGCTGATGTTCTAGTCAATATAGAAAATAAGATAGACAGGCCTAAGAAATTCGAAGGGACCGAAATTAAAGCAGCTAAACCTAATGAAGCGGAATTGGACCTAATAGTAAAGTATCAGGGTTCAGATACGTGATCCGACGACGATGGTAATATCGCTGGCGTAGCAAAGACTGAAGAAACGAACGCTCCAGTAGTAGAAATAAACAAAGCAGAGGTCCAAAATGCAAGGAGTGGGTTCACCGAGAATCTGAAGAGAGCTGTATGTTGTATAGATAGAAGACGGCAATCATAATAACATGTAAATGTAAATATTTTATATAAATTGAAATATGTAATGCCTTTACTTGTTCCAAATTATAAAAAGGGACAAATATTAAATGTTCATAGAATCAAGACGTTTGGTCAAGTATTTCCATACCTTGGAAATACTCTACAATTAAGTAGATAATTTAATGTTAACAAACTTTAACATAATTTTGAAGAAAATGTCTAGACAAAAATAAATAGTACTATATATCGATAGCGTATTTTCATAATAGCATTTTTGTAACCCACAAATGATATGTAAAATATTACACTTATACAGACGAAGGATTTCGAAAATTTTTAACTGTTATCTATAAAAACATGACCATTATTTTATGATCGTCATTTTACTGATATAATTGGGAAGTATTAAAAAAAAAAACTACTAGAATTACTAGTCTGTGTTACATTGTTTACAACATTTTTGTCACTAATAGATGACAACAAAATGGATGAACGGAAGAAATTTTTGTTTCTCTACACTTTTATAAATTGATAAGTGAAATATTAAAAATAAATGTGTTTTGAAGCTAAAATATTAAAAGAAAAACTGAAAAATATGAGTAGCTATGCAAATATAGTCAAACAACCTCTATTATATACTTTCTTGTTGTAAAAAAATGGTTCGTTGTAATTTTGAACTTAAAACGAACCATCTTTTTTTAATAGTTTTCCTTATCTTTTATAGAAAATTGGTTATTTTTAAATTTTAAACAATGATTAATGACGAAATTTTATTTTAAAATATAATTTTGTCGTATTTCATTGAAATGGCTAAGCTGGCAAATTTTAAGTGACCTTTTTATATAATTCTAGTAAACTCTCTTTGGTAATTTTTTTTGTATTCTAATCAAAATTACTCAGCGGCATTCTTATAATATACGAAAATGGAAGTGTGTTTTATTGTATAAGTATATAGTTAAGTATTATACGGATTTTTAGAACTGGCTGGTTAAGATTCTAATGATCTTTTATATTTTTAAGTAGGGTAGGTGCACCAGTAGCTAATTATTAAGCAAAATTTTTAAACTTATATTTTTGCTCAATTATTGCAACAATCATTGCGAAAAAATCATTACACTCCTTATTTACTATATAATATTATCATAATGCTCATTAAATTTTCCTAATTTTTATGAAAAAAAAAGAATTTGGCACGTCGCAATGTGCCTAAGGATTTAGATTGTAGTTATCATGAATATTGCTTTTAGATATGATTTAGACGTGGTTGGTAAAGGTACGGCAATTTTGCATTATCCGTCATTTTTAAAGTAAAAATGAAAAAAAAAAACCTTAAGTGATCTAGTATTGGGCGCACCCACCCTAATACAAGAAATGTGTTTATTTACAATAAATAAATATCTGTTGTATTTCGAATACATTTATTAAATATTTATTATTTATGCAATGTGAGTTTTGTTCAAAAAAGTAGTTTTATTTTGCGATACAAAGTAGCTGGTTAGTGAACAATATAGTTCAGTAAACTGGATGATTTATGGGTTGTCAAAAAAAAGGTGTTATATGAATTCAGCGTAAGATAGCGAATCGATCATCTTTTTTTTGTAGACTTCTCTATATACCTGCATCACTCGAATATTTCTAATAACCCTAAAGAGTAATCGAAACGAGTAACACCGAAAGTTTTATATGAACATGACAGAAACAAATACTTAAACTCGATGAGCACGATTTCTTTGCCTTTAATGTCACAAACAATAAACTTCTAGTCAACTTTTTGCATTTGTGGCGGTAAAAGCCTACTGTAAATGTAATTAAAAGTAAATTCAACTAGGTTTTAAGACTAAGTTAATGTCACAAATTAAGCCTGAATGGATGATACGCTTATTAAAATCTAAAGTGTTAGTATAATGTATTTAAATGTAACTTAATGTAAGGATATTTTATAAATTCGTAGATTTGTTTGTCATTATTAATTTATGTAACGTATTTATGTAGAATATAATAAATTAAAAGTATCCTCTGTGATGGGTAAATATTGTGTTTTCATTAAAACTATTAATATTGAAACGTGGTTGAATGGATCAATTATGTATAACCGCTTAGGTTTATAACTGATATATTTATATATTAAAACAAAATGAAATAGCTTTGAAAACTTTGCTTTGAATTAATAAATATTTACAAACTTCTAGAACTTCGAAAAAGTGTTGTTGCCACTCTCTTCAACTTTATTGTAGAACGTGCTGGGACGTAATTACGGGACCCCAACAAAATAGAACGTTTATTTTGTTGTCTATTTTGTTAAGGCCCCATAATTTAACTACTCAAGCGATATTAAACAAATTTCATATGTATCTGTAATATGGTCTTACTTAAAAGATAGGATTCTATCCTGATTTTTATCTCTATGCGCGACAACGTGTAGCTGAATTAGTTATTCTGTGGGGCATTTATATGTATAAAGATTAACGATAAGTAATAAAGGACAAATCATTGAATCAGCATTATTCAGGTGTAGCAATCCCTAGTGGTCCTAATAATGAGACAATATTCTGGGACTACGAGTAGTATAAGTCGTTTTTTGAAACATAAAAAAATCTTATATTATTAAGCTTCACAAATACCTAATATTGTAGCTCAGCAAAATAGTAATCGACATAAAAGCGTTGTCGGTACGCTTCAAACAATACAACTGCGCAAACACAAGTGCTTGAAGTGGCACGTGGCGTATCGCAAAGCTAACAAGCATACTCCATTAAATGAAACCCGCAAACTTCATTTGCGTCGTAATTTGTTGGCTTTATATGCAAAACGCATAGTTAACTGCGAATGTAATGTACACATGTTGGTTAAATAATATGTAATCTAATACTAGTTTTCCGTGAGCGGCATCGCTCACGTGATCACTAGGGAACTGTTTTGCCTAGTAAGATAATTTACTCCTGTTAAAATATTTTTCAAATCGATCGTGTCGTGACTCGGATGTATAATAATTACGATGGCAAATTGAATAGTAAACAATTGTTACTATGGTATTGTTTTAAATCTCTATACAAAATTAGTTTTACATAATGAAACAACTTTTTAACGGTTTGATCGCATTTGTATTTAGTTTTATCGACGTTTTGGACCCTTTACAGGTTCCATGTTCAGATAATTGAATAGTAAACAATGGTTATATGGTAATATTTTAATTCCCTATACAAAATTGGTTTCCATAATGAAACAACTTTTGATCGCGTTTGTATTTAGATTTATTGACGTTTTGGACCCTTTACAGGTAACGTGTACATGGACCCTTTACAGATTCCATGTACAGATAATACTAAGCTGTTGATTTTATTTTTAATGAAGAGTGTAGCTACCTTCAAAACAATACTATTGAATACATTCACAATGATTTTTTTAATATTTTATGGCAACGTTTACATTTATAAAATAATTTTAAAAATACATCTGAGTTATTTATTTACCCCTGGTTACTGTAATCTACCACTAGTTCCAAATTTGGGAGTCTTGTCTTAGAAGAACTGGCGAAACAAATTACAACAAGAAAAGTGAATTTACAGAATGAACTACCTGTATCTTTTGGTTTTGCAATGTATAATCTGAATTGAGATTTTATTTGACCAATTACTAGATCCCAAGCCTGTGGTATAAGGCAACCTTTATCTCTTTTAAAAATCCATTGTTTTTTAATTTCAATAGCTTCGCATATCACTCTAGCTCGCGTTAAGGAATAGCTCGAGATATTTCATATCGTCTTATATACATATTGCCACACTTTTTAAGTCCAGAATTGAGAAAATTGCATATAAATTTCACTCTTATTTATTTACTTACATCATGAAAGGAATACCTGTATCAAATTTCAAGTTTCTAGGTACAATAGTTTCGACTGTGCGTTGGATATACTCTATAAATTAGTACTAATTTATATATATTATTATATATATAAATTAGTCAGGTATAAATAAATAAATAATAAATATATATATATAATATAAATTAAAATAAAATATAAATAAATTAGGATATATTTGATTGTTTGTTTGTTGACATTGAATAGGTTCTAAAACAACTGAATTTTGAGAATTCTATCTTAGAATTCTATTCAGCAATTTAGAGAAAAGGTTAAACAAAAATAAGCAAAATCCAAAATCAATGCATCAAAATATTATGTTACAAACATCTCGCAATAATGCAAAAAAATGAAACTGCATCCACTCATATTGTATTCCACTCTAAAAAGGAAAAGGGTGGACGCAGACATTTAAGATTACAGGTGTATACTCACTTCCCAAGCGTATCTAAGAAAAACAAATGACTTCGCCGTTTAAAAGCTCAGCCGGATAGATTAGCGCTCGCGTCCCCGTAAAAGTTGAAATGGCTCAGGCGAGGAACGCACGAAGTTTCTTCTATCTACGGAGTTTATCATCAAAGTTATTCGGGTAACGCCGTCGCAATACCGCCAGCCGCTTTTTTGTTATACCTACCTACCGTACGATTGTTTTCAGACTAACGACCGGTTTCTGTATTGAGAAAAGGACAAAATCTCAACTGATTATTCTCAATTACTTAAGTTTTTTACGACATTTCAAAATATCAAAGTTTTATCAAACTGCTATCGACTGATCATAAAAAAAAAACAAATTAAGAAACTATAATGCTGTTAAGGTGACGTTGAAGTGCAGTTTCAAACGTTCATCTTCATCATCATTTACGTCCCCACTGCAGGGGCTCAGGCCTTCCTTATGGATGGTTAAGGAGGATGGGCCATGACCCTCCACGCTGGCCCAAAGCGGAGATTGGAGGGTATTAACGACTGCAAATACAACCGGGACCAACGGCTTAACGTGCCTTCCGAAGCATGAAGTAGCACGAGATAATAATTTTTTAGTCTCTCATCACGTGACTGACCCTTGCGAAAGTTGCTTAACAACAACGATTGCGGGCCGCTGCACTTACTTATTCTTTACGCCACCAAGCTACTGATATCTGTAGGTTGGTAGTTTAAGACGTTATTAACTTTAAACTGTCAATCCAGAATCCAGGTGTATGTTCATAATTTAAAGCTCAGCAGTGCTATAGATAGCATTGATATTTTAAAGATGTTAAGATTCTCGCATTGTTTGTTGGTAGGTAGCAACCTTCGTAAATATTTATATTATAGATGGTTGATATAGGCTACAAGTCGCTGGAACAGCTTGTTCTGTTATAAAATCAGCCTAGAACTTAACGTCGAACGAACACATTCCTAAAATAGAGGTTCAATCAATAGAACCTTGTATAAGTAGCAATGTGCTTATACACATCTTTTTCATATTTATCTTCTATGTTCAGGTTAACAAAAGAGGGAAAAATATCATGAATATAACTCACCGCGTTAAGAACATAGTATTACAAGAGCTGACTATGTTTTCCAGGATATTATTTAGTATCAAGAAGGAAAGTGAATCGTTTAATTGGCCACGTACCTCAGAACGGTCAGATACTTTATAATGATAAATTAACATTGATAATACATTTATTAAAGAGCTTTAACATTGCAGATTATCCTGTTACGGTGCTGGTGATTCTTGAAAATCCTCTATAATGTTACCATGATAAGATATATATCTACTATATACAACTGATGTCACAATTTTAGTTACCATAATCCTTTGAAACGGGTTGACCTATTTTGATAAATTTTATATGTATATTCAGTAGATCTGAAAATAGGTTGTTGTATTTTTTTATACGTCTAAGTGATATGGGTGGTCCAGCCCAGCTTTACGCGATAGATTCGTTGATTGGATAACACCTGGGTAAAAAAGTGTCTATTTAGTCTAGTCAGTCAGTCAGATAATAGAAAAATATTAGTTAGGTACATATTTTTTTGCTTCAAATTAGCAAAAAAATACTTAAATAATAGGCATTAAAGTTGTGAAGTGAGGGCTCACTACGTCACAATTATGTAGTAAATGTAACAAGGCTGCACGTCAGGCTATAACGGATTTTGACCTCTACTCTCAATTCATAAAGATATACAATTAAGTGGGGAAATTCGACAGTTTTGTATAATCTGATGTATCGTTGTAATTAAAAAAATAAAAATACGTGATTAATATACAATAATCTACCTGACAAATAGACAAAAAAAAAACCTAATCATCCCTATAATATGTATATCGTTTTCGTATATCAAACCGTTTTTATTATAACCACAGTGCTCCTGCGGTGTTATTGCCAGCGGTGATTGATTTATGATGTAGAGGTCAGCATGATATCGGAAACGTATTTGACATAAAGCATACCCAGATCCCTTACGTATGAAAAAAAAACAAAGCATCTGTAGGTTGGTAGTACAAAATTTTCATGTATTTAATTAATTTCGATATTAAATAGGTTTTTTATACATATTGCTATCGTGATTGTAGGAAAAGGGCTCAGGGAAAAGTAGAAACTCAGAGTTGTTATCTTATCGAATTTCTGTATTTCAATGGTAGATCCTGTAATATAGACTGTATGTAACTATTAATATAGATATAATAGAAGGAAAATCATTAACTACTAAATGGCAATAATAACTGTCGATTTCACTTAGAGCATCCCAATCTGTCAGTTAGCTGTCACTATCATTTTCAATTTGACGTTTTATCAGTTTCACGTCAATATACTTCCGCGTTGTCATTCTTGTAAAACTATTGGAATCAACATGGTGATCTTAAAATATATAAATTTAATAGTAAAGTGTATTTCAATACCCACAATAATTGATTGAGTGATTTATAAGAATGGATATTCTAATCTACTTGACTGTTTGACTATACTTACACTGATATCAATTATATAGAAAATACTAGCGTTGCACCTCGCGATAGTGAGCATTGCAGTATCTTCTGCAGCGCCGCATCCATGGCACAACGAAATCGGTTCCTTACCTATCTGGTGCCTTACCGACCTGCACCAGTCGGAAGGTCAGCGACCCATGCTTCCTTGCTACATAGCTTCGTAAAACCGGGAGTATCGCCTCAATAATCCTCA